GAGGCTCCAGCTTCAATACAACTTTTATGGGAGGAATGGTTTTGGGATTCTATACTTAAGAGAGGTTCGTTTCCTTTCTGTCACAGGGCACTGACGACCCTCGAACAAACATCGCTCGACCCAGCATTCGGTCCGGAATTTTGGCCGCTCGTCTTTTGGATATTGTAACGAGTGCTCTGCCCCTCTGAAAGAACTTAATAAAATATACTGGTAAATCGTGATTGGTACTTACCCAACGAAGCGAACAACATAGTAGTTTGGGCTACCTTCCATAATAACCGTACCTCCTGCTTGCTGCAATGCTAATGAAACACTATCGCAAGATGCATCACCAAGGAGTAAGAATGTGCATCCAGTGAATATTTGGCGGGGGTCCAAGTTTGCGGACCCTGGGTTCTTTGTGGGTTCCGCGTTACTTCCTTCGGGCTTATCCTCAGCAAAGGCATTATTTCGCGATATCTTCCCCAAGAAGCTGATAGTATGTTTTGATGTACGTTTTTGATCCACCTCATCGGGTAATGGAACAGCCGATATGGTTGCACGACTTTTCGAGAGCTCTCCAGTTCCATTCGATTTCTTGGAAGGTTGCCGACGGGCCCACCCTTGTCCAGCCCCTACATGGGGAGATTGCGTCATTTCCCAGCCTTTCTTCATAGGACTACTTGTCGGACCACTGTCGTTCTGCCCTTGTTCCCTTGATAGCCCGTCAGCCTGTGATTGGCGACCAGAAGAGATATTACTCTTCATCTTCACAATTGATTCCCACTCTTGTGCCGCAGCACCTTTCTTCCTCTTTACTGGAACAGCTCCATCCACACCGTCCGTCAATAAGTCAGCCAACGGCAGGGCGGCAGGCATCGCTTTTGCTTTTTGAGCTGGTAGATCCTTCTTCATTGCAGCGTCAGGGGAGTTTATCACGCTCCTCGACATGGGATCAGGTCGTGGGTTCGTGATGAAGTAGGGTTCATAGTCAAGTACGCCTTTATAGGATCTAAGATATCTATATGTGTAGATTCAAAAGGAAACGAACCTCTCTTAAGTATAGAATCCCAAAACCATTCCTCCCATAAAAGTTGTATTGAAGCTGGAGCCTC